ACCATTGAAGTCAATGCTTCCCAAGCCTCCTCAGTTGTAATCGGACGATCCATATCAAGCCTACCTTGGGCCGACAGCTGACGGAGTAATAATCTCAATGGGAGGAACCTTCAAAGAGATCCTCGGTGATATCTTCCCCAGGCCTTCGTGTGGTAAGGATGTCCTGGTAGTGGGTGGCGGCATAGGCACATAACTGAGATTGTTCTCGAGCCACCGACGATTCCTGATCGAAGGGGTGTTGCAGTTCGGTGATCAACTGTGTGAGACACTTAGTTTTTGGAACGTTTCCCGAGTCATACGATCATAAACCACTATCCTTTTTACCCTCAGGCGTTCAGCCCAGACATCTGACTCGTAAATCTGAATGGCATCCCATTCAGCGAGAAGTTTCCTCCTGATGGGACCCAGACCATGTTCGAGATCGGGTGGTAACTCATACGGGATTCAACGTACTCAATTTTACGCACCAGATATTGTTCTTTGTTCGTTCGGTTAGCGGTTAGAATACGAGAGAAAATATTTAAATGTTGTGAACAAATCCGCACCCTAGCATCCCAGTACTCATCTTTGGATTGAAAAGAATTTTCATTATCCTTCCAATCTGACCAAAACCTCCGTATCCAGTCTACTACTCTTGGGGACTTCAAAATTTTGGTATTAGCTCGAAAATATCGTGGACCTCTCTTCAACTTTTGGACATTTAACGAAGCGACCGCCGGTTTATGGTAGGAGATTGGGTTCAAAGTTTCCTTAATCTGGACTGTGGCATTCTAAACGGATGGTGAAAACAAAAAGAAATTCAATCGTCTGTTGATCGTGCCACCCTCATCTCTGATATTCGAAAACCAAGTGTGGTTCGACTTTGTGGGGTGCAACAGAGGGTAAGGTTCGATCAAATCCAACTCTGACATTAAGACCATAAGGGTTGATACATCACGACCCCCACGGATTTCCCCTTGTTTCTCTATCGTCGTATTCCAGTCCACAACAAGAATAATCTGGTCACTCTTTGTGATTAACATGAGAAGGTCCTTGAAAAAAATAGTACGTGCAGACAAATCTGTCGAAGCATAAATCGAAGCAATTACCCATTCCTGATTTCCCACCCAAAGTTTGACCCAAGCCCATCTGCCCCATAAATCAGCACAAAAATCAATTATCTCCATCGACAAGTCCCTGTGGATTAAGATGGCAACACCACCTCTCGATCAAATTTGTGGGTCTTCCCACCGGGCTCCTAATTCAATAATTTTTTTCTCCGAAAGTTTGTTTTCCTGAATGCAAAGAATATCAACTTTATTAATATGCATCAAACTTTTCATGCGACCTTTTTTGTTCCTACCTGTTGAATCACCTAGTCCACGTACGTTCCACGTAGCCACTCTAAGTCTGCCCATTAGGGCCGGTCACTCCAGCGAGTTGGATCTGGAAGACATCGTCTGGGTTTGCAAGGGGCCAAACCTCTGTTAAATAATGCTTCAGGAAGGGGGAATCCAATTTCCTTTCTCTGCTCAATTTCATGTTCAAGTCGGACAGAAACTCGGTGGATACCGAGGGTGAGACCATGAGCCGACACAATTCCGGTTTCCTACCTTCCACAATCCAGGTCAACGGGAACAACCGGAAAACTTTGTGTTCCAGTTGTTCCAATTGGTTGGGTAAAAAACGAGCATCGAAAAGAGGAACGGAGCACCGACATCTCTTGCCCTCAATATCAACCAATAATTTGGGCATCGATACTTCAACTATACGGATGACAAATTTATTATGAATCAAGGATTTTGCCATCGCAATTGTTGCATGGGGCATGGGCGATTCGGGACAAACAGAGTTCAGCAAGAGGGGAAAGCCCTCCACCCCAACCCATGCAATGAACCAAACCCCGTTCCTAGCGGAGGAACACATCAATAGCAGAACCTTAGACTCTACGAAAGTCTGGCCTTTTGACAAGGCATCCATTCGGTTCCGATAAGATTTTCGCTTACCTGCAGAAGACGGAATAGTCTGAAAGCCAGTAGAGCTACCAGAGTTTTCTTGTTGTAAGTCCACTTGGATGTCCACATGTCCCTCACTTACCCTTCTTTGCTTCCCTGGGGACTCACCACGTATGCGGCTTCCACTAGCTCCTGGGAGACCTCTCCCTGATGGTGAAATCAACTGTTGCATGTGAGCACCTTCCCTGTTGACTGAAGACCCTCCCTGTAAAGGTACCGAAGGCACCCACGGGGCGAAGGCATGCAGATTCGTCATCGAGGGGCTCATCCCCACTTGATAGTACATTGGCCCCATACCGGCTTGTAAGCCCCCGACAAGAGGTGGGGGCAAACTGTTGAAGTAGGCTGCCCAGACGGCTTCAACCGCAAGGACCTGTCCTTGCCTCGAGCCTTGAAGCAGGGCACCCTGCTGTCGAGCCTACCCTCCCGAGGGAGAGAAAATGGGATTAACCCTGATAACAGGTGGCGGCGGGGCATTTGAAGGAACGCCAGCTGGTTGCGCCGTAGGTTGGGATGATGCACCCGGGGCTTGCAAGACCCCATTATAGCTTTGTCTTGGTTGTCGAGATCTGGATGTTGAGGCTTGAGGCTGATTGTTGTTAACACCACCTTGGTCCCTCCGGCCCGTACGACGACAGGTCGTTTCCGTGTGAAAGAAGGAGCGACATCTCTTACACCACTCTGAGTCTGGACCAGCCAGCTTGACTCCAAGAACATTCCCTTGGCATGTTTGAATAGCAAACTTATCTTTCATATCGCTCTTGCATGCAAGGTCAATATCGAACCTCAAGTTTACTAACTTCGGATCGGTGTCGTCTGCCTCGGGCTTGTGTTGTTTGATAATCTTTCCAATCGCCTTCTCAACGTGCACATGAATGAATGGCATTTCGTCCAACGGAATGCCAACAACAACTACCTAGAAGGCATTATGATCCATGAATTGCCGCCAATCTCGAATTTCAGCCCGAGTCAACCAAGGCTTGAATTCGGTTCGATACGTGGTGCCTGCCAAATCGATAAAGTTTGTTTTCTTCCGCAACATCCAGTCGGTAATCTCCTGTGCTCTCGGGACATAGGAGACAACGTTCGGGCTTTCCACTTTAATCCTACCCCTTTTGAATTCTCCCCCAAACACGTCATCCCGAATCCACACATCCTCATAAGCTCTTACTACATCCTCTTTCACTTTTTTTGGCAAGAACCTAGCACCATCCCGAAAGATAACCGTCACCGTTCTCTCTTTTAACCATCGAATCTTAATCTCATCTAGAGAGGCATTAAGAGTAAATTTGACCCCCCTCCCAATCACCTCCATCTCACCAGGGTCTATGTTCGTTGGAAGGATACCTTCCTCAAAACATGCCCTTACCATCTCTCTTACCCTTTCCTCATCAAGCCGATAATCACCCGGAACTTGCACTCTTTCATCCCTCTCAACTTGACCTGGTGGTTCTACCTCCCTTCTTCCGAATTCCTGACAAGTTGCGCCAAAATGAAACCTCCACTTGCCCCCTAAGGGAAGGCTAAGCAACGGAGAACTCCTAGTGTTAATCTATCCTTTCAAAGCATCATAACAACATGCCTGTCGAGCAGGATTGTCGAGTAGGCGACGGTAGGCACTCTAACCGCTGGAAAACTCTCCTGCGGCCATCGCCGTAGGTCCTCGTCAAACCGAGGAAAACTAGGTTTCCACCCGCGGCAGTGAGACCACGGCGGACTCACCCGCCGCCGGTTAGGCCCGCCGTCCTGACGGGCGGTGCTGGAACCGAGTGCTAACGCACCGATTAACGCACCTATTAGCGCACCTCTCACGGCCCGGCCCGGCCAGGCCATATTTCGAACACTGGGGCCCGACCTTCAGCACGAATCTTGTCGGTTCTCCTGCACATAGTCGTACGTACAGGCGATATGTTCGTCATCACAACGCCTGAACCATGCAATAGAAATGGCCAGGATCACGATTGCTTAGCGTAAACATAGCGCCGGGCGATAGCAGTGCTTAGGGTTGCGGTAACCGGCGCAGCGAACGTACGGTCACGTATGTTCGTGCTGAGAAAGCATGAACCGCTCTGTATTTTCTGGGGCAGGTTCATATTTCCTTTCGACTTTTAGCATGAACATGAAATTTTGCCGGGCTAGCCTTGTCCTCAGCAATAGAGATATAAGGCTGCCTCATCCTCCGAAGGCATGAACCTGGTCCTCGGGAAGGCCAGAATCTCGGGGTTCTTAGTAGCGATAGCGCCGGAAACGTAGTTGCTACCTGCAGTGAGGCGTGACCCCTTGCCCGACCCGGCCCCCTTCTGCAGTAGCGCAACGGGCTTACGCCAAGTGTCATTTGGCCGTAGAGAATCCTTTTGCTTGGTTTTCCCGCCATGCGGAATGTGAACGGGCAAATTGGTGGTTTTCGAGTTTGTGCAGTTTGAGCTCGAATCCGTCAGCGAGAAAAAAAAGCAGAGCAAAAGTTGGGAGCTTGAACGGCGCGGCTCGGCTAGAATAGAAGGCATGAACCTGGTCCTCGTGGAGGCCAGATTCTCGGGGTTCTTAGTGGCGACGGAAACGTAGTGCTACCTGCAGTGCTTTTTGTGCATGGTGTGCGTCGTCCGATGGAGTGTCCGTCCCTCCGTGGAGCAGGTTCGGACAGGGAGGGTGGGAACGAACCTGGAATAGAATGAGGCGGCACGGCTGTGGTTCGTCGGCTATTCGTCGATGGTGGGAAGGGCTGATGGGTATCGCTGACGCCCGAATTTCCCGCCAAAAGGATCCCGGTCATCGGCGGGAGGGAAAGAGTCACTCATTTTTCCCGCGCGAAGAGGGGCAGGGAAGCGCGCGAGGACCTCGATACGTGTGCGCATCGCAGCCGCTCGCTGATGAGGTCAGCGTCAATGTTTGAATGGAGAGTAGAACGAAAGAGAGGGGGGAGGGGGGATTGAGTTGCGTGGAGGCGACCGAAAGTGCGCGGGAGATCGGTCGAGTCCATTTTCGAGCTGCATTGTCTGGAGAACGGCAACGCGTGGTCCAAGAAAGCGCGGGAGACAGACTTGGGGGAGGGGGGAGGAGAAGGTAATGTGCCGGAGGACGACACGTCAAAGGACAAACTACGAGGGAGGAGGTGGGTGAAGAAGCGAGAGGAGAAAGAGGAGGCAGAGGTGAGGGTATAAACTAGACCCGTGGGATTAGGGATAATTGTGCGGAACAGGAGCGCGCCGAGCGGGAGGAGCAGACGGGAGAGGAGGAGGAGGAGGAGGAGGAGGAGGAGGAGGAGGGGATATAGCGTGGAGGTCTCCTCCTGTGAGTCGGGATGAAGTGCTAAAAAAGCCCCCGGGGAAATCGTCCGGAAGAGGAGGCGAAGGGAGGAGGAGACGGAGGGAGGAGGAGCACGAGGAAGAGGAACCCAAGAAGCAAAATAGCGAAGAGGAAAAGGTATATTACGTGTGGATATAATTCTGGAGGATTGGGATACGTCGAGAGAGGTGGGGGAACGACGGCAAGGTGAGACAAGAGTATGTTCCTACGAGAGATAGGAGTGCACTGCTAGGGAAAAGACGGAGGAGGAGGAGGAGGAGGAGGAGGAGGAGGAGGAGGAGGAAAGGTGGGGGGCTGTGAGAAAGGAAAAAGAAGGAATTATTTATTACCCTTTTAGGATAATTCCGATAGATTTTAACAGTATGTCTAATTACGACGATGGAAGATGTCATCTTCTTCGAGTTGCTGATTCCAATGAGGATGCGGCGGGTGAGAGCACTGTGCCTATTATACAAGAGGAGATGACCTTGCCCAGTCCAATGAGGCCTGGGAGGCCGCCAATTCAGCTACCTCCCCAGCAGATGCATCCGATTCCACCATTGCCATCACCGAGGCCGGCGGGTGGGGGGAATGGCGCAGCATCGGAGGCGGCCGTGCCTCCGGAGTGGGCGGTTCTTCTTCTGGGATGTGCACTAGGCTTGGCCACAGGCGCCAGTGTTGTTCTCTTCAATCTCACGGTAAGAAGATTGAAGACGTCTCTCTGCCTCTGTCAGTCTCTCTCTGCCTCTCTCAGTCTCTCTCAGTCTCTCTCGGTCTCTCTCAGTCTCTCTAGGTCTCTCTCAGTCTATCTCGGTCTCTCTCAGTCTCTCGGTCTCTCTCTGAAGTCTATCAGTTTCTTTGTTCTCTCTTGCTATCCCTTTCTGTCTGTCTCTCTATCTCGTTCTCTTTCTTTCTCCATCTGGTACATTACTAGTATCAGCACTTTCTCTCTCTCTCTCTCTCTCTGCAACTCGTACAGTACTAGTGTTTCCTCTCTCTCCCTCTCCCTCCCTCCCTGCAACTCATACGTTACTACCGTAGTGGCAGCACTTTCTCTCTCTCTCTCTCTCTCTCTCTGTGCAACCCGTACATTGCTGATGCCAGCACTTTCTCTCTCTCTCTCTCTCTCTCTCTCTGTGCAACCCGTACATTACTGATGCCAGCACTTTCTCTCTCTCTCTCTCTCACACTCTCTCTCATTTCTTTCTGCAACTCGTACATTACAGTATCAGCACTTTCTCTCTCTGTCTCAGCCGTCTCTCTCTCTCTCTTTTTCACTCCCTCTCTCTTCCCCCCCGCCTCTCTCTTTCTCTCCCTTCGTCTCTCTGGCTCTCTCTATTTCTCTAGCCTTTCTCTCGCTGTCTCGCTTTTTGTACTTAGCCTCCTGATGAGTCGGTGAAGAACTCCGATGGCTACATATATCCCCCGGGGTTGGGGTGGGGTGGGGGCTCCTCTTCCTCTTCCTGACTGGTCAATAGAATCAAGCAGGTAGGTCAAGAGCAACACTAATTGTAGGACAGATTAAACCACCAGTACCTCGCTCAGCTATGGGCCGCGGGCACTCCCGTATACGCGCCGCAGCCCTAGGGGGGTCGGCCAAGGGAAGGCCCGGTCGCTGCGCGAAGGCCGGGCTCCGCTTCCCTAGGAACGACACATAGAGAAAGCAAAAAAAAAGAAAGAAGGGAAAAAAAAAAAACACAAACAAAAAAAAAAACGAACGGACAGAAAGTTGATGTCGCGCGGGGGGGAGAGAGAGAGAGAGAGAGAGAGAGAGGGAACTCGCCGCCCCTCTTTCTCTCTCTCTCTCTCTCTCTCTCTCGTCGCGGCTGGCCTCATGGTACTGCGCCCTGGATAGGATGAGCAAAATCGAATGAATCTGGCGCTATAGCGTGAGAATATACACTGCCATACTTGTTTTTGCCTGAGTGTGTGTGTGTGTGAGAGAGAGAGAGAGAGAGAGAGAGAGAGAGAGAGAGAGAGAGAGAGAGAGAGAGGCGGTCGCCGCCTCTCTCTCTCTCTCTCTCTCTTTCGTTGCGGCTGGCCTCAGGGTACTGCGCCCTCCATAGGATGAGCAAAATCGAATGAATCTGGCGCTAGAGCGTAGGAATATACACTGCCATACTTGTTTTTGTGTGAGTGTGTGTGTGTGTGTGTGAGAGAGAGAGAGAGAGAGAGAGGCGGTCTCTCTCTCTCTCTCTGTGAACCCGTTCGTTTTTTTTTTTTCGTTTTTTTCGTTCGTTTCACTCGAACGTTCGGGATGCCTGCGCCCGGTAGTCCGAGCCTCGGCAGGGGTCGGCGTACCGGTCTGCCGAGGCTCGGACTCTATAGCTGGGCCAGGTACTGGTGGTTTAAGCTTTCGACACCAACAGATGCCAAGTTGAAGAAAGAAGAAAGAAAAATATGAAAAAACGGAAAAAAAAAGAAAAAAAGAAGAAAGAAAAGAAAAAAGAACAACATTTTTTTTTCCTTGTTTTCTTTTTTCTTTTCTTCAGCAATTTGAACTTTTTTGTGACGGTGGCAATTGGTTTATCTGTAGGTTGTGTCACTTGCTTTGTTTGACTGATAGGCCTTCCTCTTCCTCTTCCCTTGTCCTTTCTTTGATTGGATCCCTTTCTCTTTCTCTTGCCTCTGTGCGGTTTTGTTTCCTCCTCCTCCTTTTCTTTACCTCTTTTTTGCCTTTTGGCTGCGTGCAAGTGGGTCCTTCTGACACACGGGGATGGGGCCATCCAGCGCTCAACCTGTCATCCACGTGGCTGGCCTTGTACGTAAGAGGTGTGATGAACAGGCGGCGGGCCTTTCCTTCCTTCCTTCCTTCCTTCCTTCTTTCCTTTTTTTGTTTTGTCTTTTTCCGCCTTTGCGCTCCGATTCATAGTGTGACTATATACAGTGTATATCGTCAAACAGAACTGCCCCGCGTAAACCGTAGGCAGAGAGGGAAAAGAGAGGACAACAAACGAGGGGCTATATATATATATATACCTGCAGCGTGTGGATCCTTCTGCTGCTCGCCGATATGTTTTTACATATAGGTTCATTGATGATGTTCTTACCTTTGATTGTCTGCCACCATCGTCAGCCTTATTGTGGTCTTGAATGGAAGGAGACCACTGCGGCAGATGGCTCGTGCACCTTTTTAGGTGCGATGCGAAACTGCAGACACGAGCAGACGGATCTCTCCGATTGATTGTGTTTGATTAAAAAAGACTGTTGCATGGGATTTTCCTGTTATACGATATCCTAGTGCAACGTCGAACATTCCATTTCATCAGCCTGCAGGTGTATTCACTGGCCAGCTTACACGGTTTGAGCAGATTTGTGACAATTGGCGTGATTTCAAAACTGCCGCAACCATGCTTGTCCGCCGCCGTTTGCTTTCCCGTGGCCATGCTCCGTCACACACTGGCCCGTGGATGGACTTAGTATTACATTCGTGCACGCCAGCGTCGACATCCTATACACAACTCGCCTTACACAATGGTTTCGACGTATGCTTCGCTGGTCCGTGCACCATCCTCTTCCACCCTCTCCCCCCCCCTTTCCTTCCCTTCTTCTTCTCCCATCCCCCCTTCTTCTCCCCCT